GTTCTAACTTGCACTTAGTCAATTGGGGGGAAGATTAACCACAACAAATCGTAAACATCAGATCGGACCTTTAATAACAAGAATTTGATTAGCGTTCTTTCTTTTAGTTTGAACAACAAAGTCCGGGCCAACAATATCCCAAGTTAATCTGTAAAAGTCAGCTGGAAAACCATCCGAGCCAGGGGATTTGTCGAGCGGCATGCTGAAAAGACAATTTGGAATCTCCTCCGTAGTAACCTGTTGCAGAAGATTCGCTTGCATCTCGTTGGAGCATCTGAAGTCGATAAAAGAGCGAAGGGATGAGATAGAGGCTCGAGTGTGGTTCACCGGTGAAAACTGAAACAGGTTGGAGAAGTAACGAATGGCTTCTTCTTGGATATCACTTGTTCGAAATAGATCCACACCTTGATCTGATGTAATTCTGCGGATTGCATTAGCAGATTTTCTGGCTTCGGCAACTCCATGAAAGATCGCCGATGAAAAAAAAGGCAATATCCACTCGTAGATCGGCTTGGTTATATTTATATAAGGGCTATTTTGCATATTTTGAATGTTTATAGGCAGTAGGGTAAGGAAAGGATCATAAATCTATGATAATTTCCGAGTTGCAAAATCCAAATACAACCTGACTTGAATCCTTACTGGACTACTTCATATGCCTTCCGCACACAGGACAGAGGAATTCACTCCACACACGAGCCAACTCCCCTAAAAGGCCTTTCTTTCATGCAATTGGCGACGCCATCGCCTATATCTTTCTTGTTAAGATCTTAAGCTTCCTGGACGTCTACAAATCTGTTAGGCAGGAAATGTTTACATTGGGGAAGAGTTCATGCTATCATGTCGCTAAAAAGTGGGCTCGGGGAACGCCTACTACTCGACTAAAAGGAGAGGAACGCCTTTGACTTCTTTCTCTTTCGAAAAAAAAAGGAATGTAGTTAGCCTAATCACTGGGATGATGATTGGATCAGCAACTTCTCTTGAAGCTGGACATGGTAGGCTGGTTTTGTCAACTCATTTGCTTCCGCGCTCTCTTCTGTAAACGACCTGCTTACTTCTCCACTGACCCACTCATAGACTTTCTCTTATAGACTACGCATGAATGCTTTCCTATATCAAGAAGAAAGCGAGAAGTCCGTTGGGATGCTAGATAGACTGATTCCCCTGGGTCCATAGCGTCACACCCTCATAAAGACAGTGACGTCCTATCCTATCATGCTCTCACAGGCGAGAAAGTTCTTCCTTCTAATTGAATGTCCTATTCCCCTGCCCGAGTCACTCTTCTTCCAGGCTTAAGGGGCAGCCAGGACATCAGAAGTCAATTCAAGACTTAACAGGATCGGTATATGGTTTTGCATCAAAGGCAATTCGCGGTGAAAGAAAGTAGTCTCTGTTAGCTCTTGCTTCAACCTTGACATCAGTCAATGAGGTTCCTAGGAAAGTCAATGATTTTGTTGCAAAAGCTCTTCTTCTAGCTACAAGCATTCCCTCTTCAGTGGAATGAACTACTTGTCAATGAAAGGGCCGTCAATTCCCCATCAACTGGATAATTAGCATCGGAATCAGACTCAGAAAGGGAAGCGGATGCCACAACTACTGTAAAGTCAAGAGTTTCATAGGGAAGGTGACGCATCAAATGCTACTATAGTCGACTCAGTTACTGGTTTTGCTGTATTAGTAGCGAAAGGCTGAGGCGTATAATAGAACAAGGTATGTTCCGGTAAAAGATTATCTGGTTGGGATAGGGATCTCTCCTTCTTCATTTCTCAAGGCCGGTAAGGAATCAAGAAAAGTGGTTGGGAAGTGCCCGGCCATCTACTAAGAGCTACTAGGAGCTAACTAGCTATCTTGGAAATGCTCTAAACCGTAGAATCACAACAGCCCTTCTCTTAGGGCAACAGGGGAACAAGGAACCAGGGAAAGACCAACACAACTTCCTTGACTTCCTAGGCTTAGAAACCCATTCCTATAAACGGGAAAAGCTTACTAACCTTACAACTCTGGAAGGGATTACTTTCTTACTAACTGACATGGCTTACCTGGCTTACCTTACTAACAACTAACAAACATTCCTGGGATTACTTCCTGACAGGGCTTAGCTTACTTACTAACCTTCCTTACACGGAATTACAGGGAAGCCAACACCCGGGATGTTCCGAGTGAAAGTAGAAGTTTAACCGGAACTGTCGAAAGATTACTACAGAAGAACCCATAAGATGTCCCTTACATATACCGATGTAAACAAAGATCTGAACGATTGAGAGAAGGAAGATAGAGGAAAGCAGGAGAAACACAAACTGACCGAGCTAGCGATGTTCCTATTAGGCTTGGAGAACTACTCGGAGGATGAAAGAAAGAGACAGGGAACAAAGCACAGTATACATCCTACTAGAGCTGCTAACCGGTATTCCTCGGTGGTTCCGTCCTTTAAGCCAGGGAAGCGAAAAACACAATGAACCAAGCGGAACAGACGGGATACAGTCACATCAGTACAAACAAGGAATACTAATTAAACAGAAGCTACACTGGGTACGTACTTAGCTACGGTCGCTCGGAGGCCGTTCTTCGAGTAAGAGACTAAGCAGGCTTCGCTCCTTCGTTTCGTACAGGTGCTGAAAGTCTAGACAGCGGGCCCTCTCCTTTCTGACTGGGCTAACTCGGGGAAGGGTCAATCTCCTCCGGAGCATGCTGCACAACCACTCATTCGTCCTGACTAAATAGTAGAATCTATCTCTCAGCGATTCTTTTCTCCGCCAATAACCCCTTCCCAACCAGCCCGCCCGATCGATTTTGTAAGATCGGCTAATTTAAAGGGGTTAATCTGGTCCGGAGTTGTCGGAACGAATCGTTTGCTTTATCAAAAAAAGCTTTATTAGGGGGTCTTGGTTGGCCCCCCTATTTTCAACCATTATAGCTGGCGTCGACCCGCTTTGCGATACGGACGGACACGAAGAAAAAGGCAGGCAGCGAAAATGCAAAAGAGAAGACCAATGATCCCCGCCCCGGAGCATGTTATTGACTCAACCACTAATCTGTTGAATGAAGGTAGCTTGCTTACTCTCAGCCACTAGTTAGAAGGAAATCCCTCTCCTTTTAGTCGAGTTACTAATTGATAGTACCTCTCCAATGGCCATTGCTGGGGTGGGGCATTCTATCAAGTTAGAGCCGGTGCTTAAGTTGCCTGAGTTTGGGTTGAAACTTATGGCAGAGACCTTGCAGCTGAGGAAAGGGTTGGCTAACATAGCTCGCCCTATAGTAATATGTCGACCGCGCCACATTAGGTATAACTGGTAAGCTAAAGGAAAAGGGAGCTGTTGTCAACCAACGGGAACTAGTTATCCTGTCTATTCATTCTCTTTCTTCTAGTTAGTCAACGGGCGTAGCAAGAAAGTAACCTAACCTATTTATCGGGATGTAGTAACAAAGCCAAGCACTTGTTTTACCGTGGAAAATCTCTATTTACATAGAAGAGAGCGCAGCAACTCCCCCATTAATTAGGAACCGGTGGAACTGGAGCACTTGTTTATTTACCATCTCCTTATACTTGAAGACTCTCGCCCGAATTCATTAGTATTAGTTGGTACTAGAAATGTGAGAAAAGTGAACGAAAGCGCTAGCGCGTAAGCAAATCCCTTTAGCCCGTCCACTACCGAAAGAGAAAGAAAAGAAAGAGCAAGAAAAGAGAAATGCCAACCCGTGGGATGAGAAGTTGCAGAGTAGCTGATAGTGGCCTCCCTCTCCGAGTAAGAAATACCTCTCCCAAGGGTCAAGTCACTCCGTACCTTTTTAGTCAAGTAAGAAATACCTCTCCTAACATGACTTCGAGAATTGGGCGGAGCTGGAACATTTGATGCAATAGCTGACAATCCAATGGGAATTATCCAATCGAAGGAAGAATGATTCATGACTACTCTTGCTGCTTTGAAAGAACTCTCTGAGCTTGGTTTTCAGTCAACTTTATCTCTCTCTCTTTATGAGCGGTGGTCATGCTCTGTACATTCTAGTATATGTTGATGATCTTAGAATCACATGGTCCAATCCTCTGAATATTGATGACATAGTATGCATCAAAAATGCCATCTTTTCTATAAAGTATCTGGCTTAATCTTGGTCAAAAAGTGAGTAGAACTTCTGCTTCTATCTTTCTCAAAACATTACTGATCTATTGGTCAAGGCTGGCATGGAAAGAACCTCTCCCTTCTCCCATAGTCACTTCTGGGTCCTCTTTGTCTGCTCTGCTGTTGGAAGTTCCACTTTGCTAATCCTCATCTCTATCGTAGCATTCTTGGTGGTTGCTAGCATAACCAGACCTGACATAGCTTACTCAGTGAACTTTCACAATTTCTGATGAGACCTTAGATAGAAAAGAAGGTTTAGATTCCTGTTTCTATTCCTTCCTATTAAACGCTTTCAAAAGATTGTTGAGATATCTTCTCTGAATTGTCTGCACTTGACACCTTCCTCTCAACTTGCTCTTGTTTTAGTGATGCTGATTGGCCTTCGTGGGAATTTCTAGATCACTCTCAGGATATTGGCTTTTTCTTGGGAGATCCTACGGGAAAAGAAGGAAATAAGTAAAAATAGGAGAGTCAGAGTATGGGTCCATGTCCGCCACCGCAAGTGACTTAGTCGGTCTCCTTACTGATCTGAATCTTTCAACAATCTCCATGTCTTGTGAAAAGAAGCACAAGATCTCGATGAATCAACCTCAGGAAGAAACATTTGACACGGGATTCTCACTAGATTCGGTATACAGTTCAAGAATCAGGGAGACTGATCATCTCATATCTTGCTCACCACAATTAGCTGAGAAATCACGTCCATCAACATAGATTTTGATCCTCCAAGTCCTTGTGAATTGAGTTGGGAGAGTGATGAACTAGCTATCGGGGGTATGGATACATAAGCAATAGTCCTTCTTTTTCGGCTCTACGTTCTCAATGCTTCGCTTCGTCAGTCTGCGACTCACCTCGCCTCTCTCCTCTTCATCCCTATTCTAT